GGTTTCCCAACCTGACCCACTCAAGCTTATTTATATCACATGTGTCGATATGAAGCTACTTTACACTGAGAGATTTAAAAGAGATGTATATCACTAGTGTAAATAAATGTAAGTTCTGTTTATGCTTATGTATCTGTATTGACGATGACATCCCAAAGTTTTGAAAATGAATAAAAATACATTTATTCGGAAATGCTTTGATAACGTATTTATCATGTTTTTCTAGGAACAAATTCCGCAACACTTTTATTAAAAGAGATAATCTGATTTTTATAAAGTATAAACAAAATCGGTCTTTTCTGGCCGTGAAAATGGGGATGTCACATAATCTGTCATTTGATCATATTCAAATGACGATGTGGTGTCAATTATTTCCAAGATAAAACCATGTTGTCAAACATGATCATTTTGTTAAAAATACGGTGAAGTGGTCTCTAAATATGTTAAAAAATTGTCATTTTTTAAACAGTTATATGGTTGTTTTGAATAATAGGATTGTATTTATTGGTCATGTTTCTTGAATTTAGTTATTATATTTGTTCATTTGAGTTCGACCCTCCATTTTATATAAAGGTTACATTTCTTAATCCGTGCCACTTAGTAGGATTGATTTTTTGTAGTCGAACTCAAACACCACTACAAGTTCATTCTTGATTTATCATAAAGTTGCATTAATTGATATATTATGGTGGTTCATTCTTGATTTGTTGTCAAGTGTAGTTTATTTTTGTTGTCAAGTGTACTTTAAATAAACTGCACAATAATAATTATTTTATATTTTATATATATATTTTTTAATCGAAATATAAAGTCGTAGTGAAGGATCGGGGTTTTAAGGTACGGTTGGGCCTAAAACCAGACAATTTCCTTTAATTAGGATTCGACTTCACAAGTCACGCCATTTATCCCACTCTTCCGTCCCTTGAGCTTCTGGATCCAACTTCTCCCCATTTTATTCCACTCTTCATTCGGCTTCAGCTTCAACTTCTCGGTTAGCTTTTTCTCTCTTTTCAAGATGTGATTGCTCTTCATTTGCATTGAAAATTTGTGGAAACCCTAATCCCCAAAATAACAAAGAAATTTTCGAAAGCATTAACTAAATTCATCCAACCATATTGTGTCATTGATTTCGTAATTTCTCTGAATTTGTTACTACTATTTCTTTATCTGAACTTGTTAAGTATGTGTCGTTTGTTTGTATATGTGGTTGAAAGTTTGATTTGTGTGAATGTATGTATTTCCATTATATGAAAGTTGATGTCTTTATTTATACTCTTCATGAATTTGGATACTTCTGTCTGGTATATCGAGGTATTGTTGTAGTATCTGAGGATACATTCAATAGGGGATGCAGATGTACGATTTAGGTTATTTTTTTCCTGATTGATCGATCATACGATTTGTCCAATTTGTGTGTCATCAACTCGTAATTGACCTGTGACAGGAAAGATGACTGGTGTTTATCGTTTGATTTTGCAGGGGCATTATGAGTGGTACGCCTAATAAGAGGGTGCATGAAGATAGTGGAGGTCATTCCTCCCTTTCAAGGTATTCCCATCCCCATCCCCATGCGCAGGATGATTCTGGGACATATCCTGGAATGGGGGGATCAAAGGCGCCAAATCCTTCAGCTCCCAGTGATTACCATCCTTCTTCCTTTGATATTGGGCAGGATTCCCGCATGCCAAAAGTCCCTAGAACTGAAATACGAGAAATGGATAGTAGAAGGTCTCCAATGGTTCAGATGTATCATGCCCAATCTGATCATGAAGACAGAGTTGAATTGAGAGATTCTAGAGATAACATTATGAAGATTGAGAGCCAAGGTGGTAAAAGTGATAAAGATGTTGGTAGGTATGAGAGAGATGGTATTGGTTACTCTGATTATAGAAATGATAAGGATACGTACAATCCAGTGAATAGTCATATAAACTGGAAAGAATCGAAAGAGCACCACAGGACATGGAAGTATCCGGATACATCAGGATCAGGTGGAAACCTGGATTCATGGCATGTGCCACGTGGTACTAATGTTCATGGACAAGTGGAAATAGGGACCACAGAAGAGAAGGATTATGGGGAAGCTCATGAGGGTGTTAGTGAGAACAAAGTTGAGAGAGATAGGAAAAGGAAAGATGTGAAGCAGCGTGAATGGGGAGAAACAAACAAAGAGATGAAAGAGATAACAAAGGAAGAAAAAGAAAGCGAGAGAAAGGATGTACAAAAGGAGAAGGATAAAACGAGAGAGAAAGAGAAAGAGAAAGAGAAAGAGAAAGAGAAAGAGAAAGAGAAGGAAGATGTTGTTGAACAGGAAAACATAGGAATGGAACAGAGTAGGAAACAGAAAAGTGGAGATGTATGGAAGGAGTTGGATATTGAAGAGGAAAGAAGCAAAAAAGATTCAGATGATGGTGTTGATATTGAAGGAGAAAGGGAAGCTTTTAGCTATGGTGTTCAACAGAGGAAGAGGATGCTTAGACCTAGGGGCAGTCCACAAGTTGCAAATAGAGATCCACGCTATAGATCTCGCCCTCAGGACAATGATAATGGTAATAACCTAAAATACATGCTTATAATATATATATATATATATATATATATATATATATATATATATATTATTGTTTATTGTTTATGTATGTTGTTAAGTGCAAGCAATATATGGATGTTTGCAGGGAAAGGTGATGTGTCAAGTGTGATATACAGAGTTGGTGAATGCATGCAAGAATTGATCAAATTATGGAAGGAATACGAATCATCGGCGCCTGATAAAATGTCTGAAACCTCACAGTCACAGTCACAGACACAGACAGGACCCACTCTTGAGATCCGTATACCTGCTGAACATGTTTCTGCTACAAATCGCCAGGTAATATAAGATTAATATTTTTGTTTTATATCATGTTCATGTTCATGTTGTACTTGTTCCTAAATAAGTGAATATGGTTTGCAGGTTAAAGGTGGGCAGTTATGGGGTACAGACATATACACGGATGACTCGGATCTTGTTGCAGGTATGCCTAGTTTATATTTTTTGAAAGTAGTTTATAAATAAAAAGTTTATGACATATACATATGTATATATATATATATATATATATATATATATATATATATATATATATGTTTGTTTTGTTGTCCAGTTTTAATGCACACAGGCTACTGCCGCCCAACTGCATCTCCTCCTCCCCCTGCTATTCAGGAGTTACGTGCTACTGTCAGAGTACTTCCTCCACAAGATTGTATGTATTTTTTATGCAAGAAATAGCAACCTACTTTTACAAATATACTTTGAAAAATCTTACGTCTAGTTTTCTTGTTAGGACATTGTAATTTGAATAATCTACTCAATTGTATTGTAGTAGTGCAATTTAGATGATAGATTTTTTCAAAGTACAATGATGCTATAATAAACAAATATTACAGAATTTTTTTTTTTTTTTTTTTTTGTATGAGATAATAAATAGTTAATGGATTGTTGGTAGGTTATGTTTCTACACTGCGAAACAACGTTCGTTCTCGTGCATGGGGGGCTGCTATTGGTTGTAGTTTTCGTGTAGAGAGATGCTACATTGTCAAGGTAAGTAACAACCACTTACGTAATACCAATCAACTTTTACCATTTCTACTTTAGTTTAATGCTTACAGTTACACAAACAAACAATATGTAACAAGTTATGGATAAAAACAAAGTATGTTGGTAAAATTGGTTGCTATTTGTTTGATAAAGAACAAGACAATAAGCTATTTTTGGTATGGTTAATATTATGGATGAAAAAACAAAGTATGTTGGTAGTCTATTTTATTTTTTGGTAAAACAAGGAAGTGTAAACATGTTTTTTTTTTGTTTTGTTTTATTCAGAAAGGTGGTGGGACAATTGATCTTGAACCTTGTCTTACACATACATCCACTGTGGAGGCCACTCTTGCTCCTGTGGTTGTGGAGCGCACAATGACTACTAGGGCTGCTGCTTCGGTGGGTATATTCAAATATCAAAATATTACTTTAATTACATCATTCATATCAATATGTTTTATTAAAAAAAAGTTTAATGTATTTTTTTTTTTAATTTTTTTTGTAGAATGCCCTTCGTCAACAAAGATTTGTGCGTGAAGTTACATTACAATACAACCTTTGCAACGAACCTTGGTATGTGTTAGCATGCATGGTATCAATCAAGTAAACAAACTGTTGAATATTTACTTTTCAAATCTTGGATAAATGCAAGAAACAGCAACTTACATTCATTGGTTTGTTTGTTATAGTAACAGCAAGCATCCTACTTCCACTTGACAACATATGTTGTACTTTAATAAGATGTACAAAACAATCAAACAATCAATCTTGAGTGAAAGTAGATAGATGTTTGTAATAAGAAAAAAATTGAAACTAGAATGGTATATATATATATATATATATATATATATATATATATATATATATATATATATAATAAAGTAAGAAAGTGAAGGTGAAAGTTTAATAGTTTATGTATGTGATTGAAGGATCAAGTATAGTATAAGCGCGATAGCTGACAAAGGTCTGAAGAAGCCTCTGTTTACGTCTGCAAGATTGAAAAAAGGAGAAGTTCTCTACTTGGAAAGCCGTACACGCAGGTATACTTGTTTTGTTTTGTCTCATCATAAAGTTAAAAAGTTTTAAAAAGGGAGATGTGGTTTTTGAGTTTTGTCAAGGTATGAGCTGTGCTTCAATGGAGAGAAGATGGTGAAAGCAGGAGGAGGAAATGATATGGAGACAGCAGCAGCAGAGGGTGGTGGTGGTGATGGGTGTTTGGTGGATGTTTTCAGATGGTCTGAATGTAAAAAGCCTCTTCCTCAGACAGTCATGCGTGCCATCGGCATCCCATTATCACCTGAACATCTACAGGTAATTCATTTTTCTTTTAAAAATAAATAAATAAATATTTTCTTTTTTTTAATTGCTATTTCTGGGTTGCAGGTTTTGGAAGAGAATCTTGATTGGGAGGACATCCAGTGGTCACAGACGGGTGTTTGGATATCTGGAAAGGAGTATCCTCTTTCCAGGGTGCATTTTCTATCGCCTGTGTAAAATCATCCATTTTTTTTAAACACGATTGTGGTGTTCTGTGTTAAACCTAACCACTTAACATGTTTTAATATTTCAAAACATGACCATTGCCCTTGCTTTTTAGTATTTATTAATTAAATGCTACATATTTACAATTCTCATCAATAACATGAAATCCACAACAAAACCCAAACTCTCAACTTGCAAACAATTATAGGGTTAATTGTATACCATCTTATATTTTATGTTTTTTGTTAAAAAATCCCTTTTCTTTTTCTATCTTTTTTCCCGATTTGGCTATTTTACTCGGTTCCTTTTGTTTCACCGTTTTTTCTTTTAGAAAATAAGTTAAAAAAAACTTAAAACTTTTTTTTTTCTTAAAAGGAAAACTGCAATAAAGTCTTTACATATTGTCCTCATAATCGATTTACTTCCTATATCTTTTTTATTCAATTAAGTACCAAAAACCGGTAATCGTATTCAATTTGGTCCGAAATTTATTACCCAGGTCATCTAACTTTCAAAAATTATATTTTTGGCCCAGATTTGAAAAGTTATTACAAATTTGGTCCAAAATTTGTATTTTTGGCTCAAATTTTAAAATTTATTACAACTTTGGTCTTAAACTTACCATTTTGGCCTAAATTTTAGAATTTTGTTATGAATTCATCCTAACTTTAGTTTTTTTTTACAAATTTTTTTCTCAAACTTTTGTTTTGAATATGTTTTTTTCTTTATAAAATCATTTATACAAAAAAAAAAAACATTTTCACATAAAAAATCTTATATTTTTTATAAAACTTTTTTTTTTTTTTAAAACTTTTTTGTATACGGAATTGATGAGGTGATTATCAACTTCAAATGTTATACATGAAAGCAACAAACTAATATACTAATTTTACAACACTAAACTGTGATTTTCTTATTATAATTTCACAAGGTTTTTTTTTGTGATACTAAAAAAACTTAGGTCCCGTTTGATAGTTGCTGATTGAAAAAGTACTGACTGGGAAAGGTCTGTCTGAGTAATAAGT